CTTAAATAATTCAAAACTTCAATATTCAGATTCCCCAAGATATCTTGGTGTCACACTCGACCCTGCGCTCACTTTTAAAAAACATATTGACACCATGATAAGCAAAGCCAAAAATAGGCTCAAAATCCTGAAAAAAAAATCAGGCTTAAACTGGGGTGCAAATGCCAATATCTTACGCACAACGTACCTTGCACTCGTAAGACCTATTTTGGAATATGCTACACCAGCCTGGATCAATGCAAGTAAAACTAACCTATCCAAAATAGACAGAATCCAAGCAAGCGCAGCTAAAATCATCAGCGGGACTCCGAGGATCCTGCCCAAATCGCATTGCTGAACTCGAATCCAACCTTCTTCCCCTGCACCTAAGGAGAAAAATCTGCTTTTCAAAATTTATAACAAAAAAGATTAACTCTCCAAAAGAACATCTTACAGGAAAATTTATTAGAAATTGGGTCCCAAACCAAAGATTAAAACGCCCCACTCCTCTCAACATGGCTCACAACTCTAATCTTTTAGACATCCCAATTAATCCCAAACACAGAACTTCCTATCCCCCACACAAAACTCGCAACAAACTCATCTGTTTCCCTCATCTACCAGACAATCCCCACAAACATGAAACTCAGCCAGAATTACTTAAAGCTCTTGGCCTCCAAATCATTGAGGAAAATAGCTCCCTCTTCGACATCACAATTTACACTGACGGTAGCCAACTTGAAACTGGACTGTCTGGCAGTGGAATTGCTATCTACAAAGATAAGATCCTGGAAAAAACTCCCTCTCCCACCCTAGACATCTTTCAGTTTATAAATCAGAACTCTCTGCTATAGATACGGCTCTAAAAGACATCAACATCAACTCGCCAAGCAAAATAATTATCTACTCCGACTCAAGAGCAGCCATTTATACCCTTCAAAGCTGCTTCTCCAGTCAAGAACCCCTCCTCAAGAGCATTGCTAAGTCTGTAAACCGACTCCCAGCCAACAGCTCAGTCACAGTGCAATGGCTTCCAGCTCACGTTGGAATTCCTGTTAATGAGCTGGCAGACTCTCTGGCAAAGGCTGGTGCTCTTGGCCTACCTGAAGCAAGAGAATCCACCACCCAACTAGACGAAAGAGACCTCCTCCGTACCATCAAAACCCAATGCCTGCAGGAATGGAAATCTGATGCTGCACATGACTGGTACAGAGCAGGAGGGACAAGCACCGGTTCTGTCCTCCCAAGAGAACAACAGTCTTTGATTTCCAGACTTAAGTCTGGTCATCTACGGACAATGACTTTCCAGAATGGTTGCAAGGTTTTCCCACTATGTACCAAGTGCAATTCTCAGCCTGCAACCCCAAGACATATTATTGACTGTATTGACTCATCCATTGATGAGCTCTACTCTTCCCCGGCAGACACCATCAAAAATCTCAAGCTTTACAGGCTTGATACCTTAGTGTGATTGGGTGGAGATAAGAAAGAAGAAGAAGAGTAGCTGTATGAGGATGAGCATTATCCTGTTTGAAATTGCCCCCTGGAATAGTCATCAATAAAGGCAGTACAAATAGCTCAATCATCAGTCTGACGTACAAATTTTCTGTCAGTGTTTGGGATAAAAACAGGAGTGCTCCTGCTGTCATAGGCAATTGCTCCCCAGACCATAACTCATGGTATGGGTCTAGTGTAGCTATGTCACAAAAACTTGGTTCCAAGTGCTATCCTAATCTCCTAAATGATATGCATCCATCACTAGCATAAAGACAAAAAGGCTCTGATCTGAAAACCAGTTTTATATTCCACCCTCCAAAGAGTTCCAGCTTGATTCTACTGATGTCACAGATAATGATGATTTGGAGTTAGTGGTATGAGAGAACAATACTGGATTTCTGACCAGAGCTGTCCTTCAAATAATTCAATTTTTTACAGTTCGTGTCACTCAGGTTCCAACATATTTTGATTTTCTACTGCAGATAGAGTAAGCTCCATCACAGCAAGGGTTGAAAATGGCAGTATTCCTACCAAGCATGCACAGTGGATACATCTCTTGTGGATACATCTATCTGCAATTTTCTGAAAAGAAATTCCACCTTCTTGTAGCCCTATTAAATGGCCTCATTCAAACTCAATGTTATACTGGTTATACTATCTTTCTTTATTTTCTTGGAGGACTATCTATGACCTTTTGAATAATTATTTTAATATCTGAAAAAATGGTGAGAAACAGCCTGTAGCTATTTAGGTCAATGAGGAATGATCTTAGCCTAAAAAAATGAGAAGTATGAAAATAAAATGAGGCAGATTTCAGAGAAAGGGAGAGGGGATGAGATAAAATGGCCTATTTGTTACAATAATTACTTATGCCAAAAAGAATTGAGGAAGGGAGTGAAGTTCAGTATGATGTATTAATTTCTGTTGCTGATTTGACTGATCAAGTGCAACAGACAAGCAACTCCATTCTACAATATGATACATGACACCTGTACAACACATTGCACATCTGCATGCTTGCATTGCTAATTGAGAAACCTCAGCTGTTATTAATGTACATACATTTCAGATTTGAAATGAAATATTTGGCATGCATTATTTAACCTGTTACTCCTTGCAAACCTTAATCAATTAAATATGCTACACAGATAAAGGCTTTCCTTGAATGATAAGGTACAATTTGGATTTGTTCTTATAACCTTGGCTTTGCCTGAATTTCATTAATCTAATTTTTTTCTTGGGGATGCGAGTATTTCATATGATCATGTTTTATATAGCTATATCTTCCCACTATTTCTATCGATGTTTCATAACTTAAAAATCACAGACATGACAACAAATTTCTCTCGATACCACAGAAAAAGTTGTACCCAAATTTCCAGGCAGAAGGTATTTTCCTATGACCTGGAGCTTCATGTTATATTAATAATAATAATTTTATTCCCATGGATACATAAAGCACAAAGGTCTTAAGAAATTAGGATTAAAAGAGAGAGAGGCTATGTACAGTGAATGATATATCTTAAGAAATCATGCACACAAAATTATATATATATGTCATAATATATGCACACACACACACACACAAAAGCCTTTATTAAGACACACAGGTCTTACAGAGGATTCTCCTTGGGGTTACAAAACGGAGAAACCTATGAAAGTGGGAAATAGAAAATGGAGAAAGATTATATACATTTGGTAAATATATACAGATTATAAGAAAGATAAAAAATAAGAAGAATAAAAAAATCAAAAAAAGAGAAAGAAAAAAAAAAAAAAAAATTTTTGGAAATATGGATGGGAGAAGTGGAGAGCGAAAAGAGGAAAGAAAACAGGTATTTACATATGGAACAAGATGGAACAGCGCAGGTGGGCCATGTATTTTTTAAGAAATCTTTAAGAGATTTCCCAGGAAATCCTCGTGTTCAGGGTTGTAAGGTAAACACCGTTTTATCATTGTTAACTTATCGTATCTGCCTAAACAAATTAGTTTTCTCTTCAACATTGTCCAGTATGTGTTTATTTTTGATATAAATTCCCACAATGATGTCTTCAGAGCTTCTTCCCTGACCCGAGATTTTTCTGGCAAGTGATTGGTAAACCTGGAAATTCTCGATCTCGAGTTTTAGATAAAATTGGCACTAAGTTTCCGTTATAGCAAATATTTCAGATTGTTTTAAATAATTAATGAAAGGGAAAACGTATAAATTGGAAAAATTCCAATACATAATATTTACATAATTGTGTATATGTCATAATATATGCTCTTCCAGGATTAATAAAACAAATCTACAGTTGACCAGAGAGAGAGAGAACGCAGCTAAGGCCGGTCACTTGATATAGCAGTCACATTCCTGAGGGGGGGCGTCACCACCTGGCGACTATCCTGGTTAGCCCCCCCGGTTGTGTACACAAGGAAAACAGTCGTTCGCCAGATAACGTCTCGCTCGCTCCCTCTCGGCTGGCTGGCTGGATGATTGCTCTAACAACTCGTCGTGTGATTATTTCTCTCCTCACCACATTTACCACCATATTGCCACATTGAAAAGTCGACAGGATCATATCACAGAAAAGTCGACAGGATAAGACCTGGCCGGGAAGCAAATCCCTCATATACCGGAGTATGAAGAAACAAGAAGCCAAGCCACGATGATCGGCCAAACCCAACTCAACTGTAACCACTCCTCTTCGAGCCCTCAACCCCTTCTTCGCCAACCTTTGAACCGTGATCCCGAAGAAGTATTCACCTACGATGGAGATGGAGCTGCCACGCACTTCTTCCAGCACTAGATCTACTCAAGAACGATCGCCGTGCCAGAGCAGGACACCTCCCGCCATCATGGACAAGACTCCGCCATCTCCCTACCGCTACTGTGATGTACAACACTGGTACGCACAGTGTCACAGACAGAACTCTCCCGAAGCTCAATGAACTTACCTGCGTCCTAAACCAACATAACTCGTGAGTGTAATTGTCTTAACTCCTACCATTCATTCTTTAAATAAGTCATTCCTTGTAGATTGTCCCAATATTTCCATAATTATAAAACGAAAAATGCAATTATACCGCGAATGTTTCTTTTAAACAAAAATCGAAATTTATTTTAAAGAGAAATAACGACTATTTCTAACTTTAAGGATGAAGTATGAAAGGGTGAAAAATATGAAGAGTAATAGCGAACGGAAAAATAAGAGTGCCCAGGGGCGGGAATCGAACCCACGACCTTCCGCTTACCGGGCAGATGCCATGTCCACTAGGCTACCCTGGACATATCTTTCCGTTCGTAAATATTATATAAAGTAATTTAAAATACAATATAACGCGGCTGATGATTGTAAAACGAAAAATGCAATTATACCGCGAATGTTTCTTTTAAACAAAAATCGAAATTTATTTTAAAGAGAAATAACGACTATTTCTAACTTTAAGGATGAAGTATGAAAGGGTGAAAAATATGAAGAGTAATGGCGAACGGAAAAATAAAAGTGCCCAGGGGCGGGAATCGAACCCACGGAAAGATATGTCCAGGGTAGCCTAGTGGACATGGCATCTGCCCGGTAAGCGGAAGGTCGTGGGTTCGATTCCCGCCCCTGGGCACTTTTATTTTTCCGTTCGCCATTACTCTTCATATTTTTCACCCTTTCATACTTCATCCTTAAAGTTAGAAATAGTCGTTATTTCTCTTTAAAATAAATTTCGATTTTTGTTTAAAAGAAACATTCGCGGTATAATTGCATTTTTAGTTTTACAATCATCAGCCGCGTTATATTGTATTTCCATAATTAGCTCAATATGTGTGAATATGTAAAAATATTTAATATTTCCATTTATCTCTCCACCCCTATTAACAGTGATCTTATTATCCATATTATATCTAGCTATGTGAAACCCATTTAATTAGTTACCTTACCAGTAGATGTAACAATCGTCATTTTAATTAAATAATTTCCATTTTAACGTAACTCTTTAAAAAACAAAAAAAATCATAAAAAAAAAAAAGGAATTCTACCTATTAACGCTTTACGATTTTTACTATTAACAATAGATTTTTCATAATCAAATTATTTATAAAAATATGCCTCCAGCACCTAAACTTTTGTATAGACCTCTCCTACTTGTAAGCACGGCTCACGAAAAATAATTTCTTTCCCTAATCGATTCAAAATTCACCCTGTAATTCAGGCGTCGAAGAATTCCAACCACCACGTGAGCCTTGCTTACAACCAACCCTTGGTGACTCTTATCTATCTTCCCCTTAATGCCCCTCTCATTCTTACAACTTTGTTAACTTTATACCAGCTCAGGACCTTTATAGAGAATTATTGATTAATCAATTATCGAACTTCTATATTGTCATTTCAAAATCCTAACCTTCGCCCTTCATTTATGATAATTTATTTCGTAGTTCATCTCTAGCCTATCCACCGACCCACACCATCTAGCCAATGGTGTGTTCGTCACAGGGTGCAGATTGACTAACTGCTAGATATTTATCAACCCCTTTTTGTTCGCACTTGAACAATCTGCATCGAGCGACACAGTTCGCTTCTTCTTCTCGCGCCACACGTTCGCCACACGGACCCTGTCTTCAAATCTATGTTTGTCCATTGTCCAAACCAGCACGATATAGCCTACCTCCGATATTTCCCACGGAGGTACGTTAAACATCGTCGCTGATTTTGTCCGGTCCATCATCATTTCGCGCAGACATGGATCTTACTTTCAACCCACCGCGAAATCATCGCCTTGCACAAGCTCCCACGACGGTTCAAACACCTCGTGTCCGAGCAGCTTGTCACTTGTAACGGACAACGCAGTCCTCGTCCCAATTTTTGGCACTGTGCGCGCATACTTTCCTCAAATTAAATATAAGTCCGTCCGACTTCCTCACCTACACACGGGACTTTTCACCTCGGACTCGCTACACAAGTAACTGCATAGATAAGTTAGATTGGCCCAGGGCAAGTCTCCCCTCGCTCTGTTCGCCGAGGTTCTAACATTGCATGTAGTTTTATATTTACCTCAGTCCTGAGCTCACACAATTGTCAACCTCAATCTCATTTCTCGTACTCTACACTTATAGCATAGAAAGCCCATGACAAGTTTCCCCTTGCCATGTCCGCCTGAAAAATATCTTAAGTGTAGAGTTCCCCAGTCTTAATGATCTTCAGAATTCCATCATATGTATGTGACTCCTCTTCCCCTTGTTCACACTCCTCAATAACATTTCCCTTATAGTACATTAGATTTTGTTGTATATAGCCTTTTATAACCTTGATAGTTTCAAAGATTTCCTTAAATGTCAAACTCCCCGGTGTTGTAAAACTGCTTGTAAATAATATTTACTTGTGTACTATACAATATTTTATTTACATAAAACTATGTCACCATTACCTTAACTAATTTTAACTGTAAATTATTTTCTCTATTCCTGGCTTCTCCAGCTTTAAATATACTTAAACCATGTTCAGCCTTCTTCAACGGGGGCCATATGTCATAATATATGCTCTTCCAGGATTAATAAAACAAATCTACAGTCGACCAGAGAGAGAGAGAACGCAGCTAAGGCCGGTCACTTGATATAGCAGTCACATTCCTGAGAGGGGCGTCACCACCTGGCGACTATCCTGGTTAGCCCCCCCGGTTGTGTACACAGGGAAAACAGTCGTTCACCAGATAACGTCTCGCTCGCTCCCTCTCGGCTGGCTGGCTGGATGATTGCTCTAACAACTCGTCGTGTGATTATTTCTCTCCTCACCACATTTACCACCATATTGCCACATTGAAAAGTCGACAGGATCATATCACATATATATATATATGTTTTTTTTTTCACAGCTCAGTCCCAGTTAAATGGAACTTGCTACTCCCATAATAATCTTTATGAAGTTCATCGTTGTCCAGGTTTATGATTATATTATTTGTAAAAAAAAAGTTACCAAATTACTAGCAATCTAATGAAAGAAATCACAAAGCATTTAAAGATAAAATTCTGCATAAGAACAAGAGTTACCATCCCAGACTAATGAGCTTAAAGAGCGACTAATTTGCATTTTTTATTGTTATGATCAGTGCATGTACATTAATCTAAAAAAAAAAATCTCTCAAGAAACAATATTCTATTAATAACTAATGGCTCGACTGTACAAGAGATGAGGCACCCTCTGTTTTTCTTTTATATGGAAAAGACTATCTTTAAGTGAGAGAATACAATTTCTATTGAAACCGAACACTATGTCAACATTTTGAGGATGGGTGATTCAAGAGTTGCATGGTCCATTGGGCTGCATGAAAAAATGCAATTTTTATTTTATTATAATCTATAGAAAGATTTAAATAATAAAAATAGATTTAAAAATCATATAAAAGTAGCATGTTTTATTTTTTAAATGTTCAATTTTATATTGAGATCGCACAAAATACAAATTCACTCCATGTACTATATAGACAGTGAGTAGAGAGTAAAAGGTAAAATAAACTGTAAATATTATCAGATAAGCTATTTACAAATTTCTATAATATTTATTTTAAGAGATAAAAGATAAAAGTTACCGCGCCAATAGCTTATCTTAGTATGATAAACTATGAAGATATGAGACATGATCCTGGTAGAGGCAAATTCGCATCAGCAGCTCGAAATTTTATATTTATTTTTAGAAATTAGGAATGCGATTTCATGTCCTTCGGGCTTTACGCCCCAGTAGGTAAGGATGTGAATTTGTGTCCTTTGGGTCCAAAGTGTTAAGCATGTAAGGAAACTTTCAGAAAGAATTAGGAAAGAAATGGTGTATAATAATATACTGTATAATTTTTTTACAACCAAAAATGAGAGCATAATTACTAACAAAGCAAATTAATAGCATTATTGACTCCAATCAGAAAGTTTGAAAATGTGCAAATTTTCTGAGGAAATATTTTGGACCATATAGTGAAAAAACTTGGAATCCAACCAACACACAACTTCTGTACAAATTGTGAAAAAAAAACTTTAGGATATATTGCTTCAAATATAGATTTGTGTGTAATTGTACTCAGCAAAATTGTAATATTTTGTTTAGAGTTGTTTTTAGGCTTGCTACCTCTATTTGGTATGTTATGTTTGTTTAATTTCTACTTATGAAAATAATTTAATAAAAATAATTATAAATATGCCATTCTCCATTAAATAAAAATATGTTACTATAATATTTATCTTGATTTTGAATGTAATCAAGCACAACATCTCACAACAGGTATATCTATCTACAAAGAATATTTTGATATAAAATAATTATTTGAAATACAATCAGATGCAAATTATTTGATTTAAAAAAGAAAGCCCTGGAGGCAAAGCTAACTCGATGACAGTTCACATTAGCAGAATAAAGCCTACTTTGAGAGAGTTTTAGACACACTCACAGGGAAAATTATATGTAACTTTTCAAGATATGATACTTATTCTTAATGTCATTCATGATTATATTATATATTCACCTTGGCTTGATGCATTGACTAAGCATAGTACTTTTAAGAATTAAAGGAAATTTAAGAATTTCAAGACCTCTTTAAAAATCCTGAGTTCAACTGACCCGGTTGATAGACCTCAGCAAGGGTCCCTCTCCAGGGATTACAGAGGAGCTGTCTCTGTGCTCATGTTAGAGTTGGCAGCAAAGAGGTCTGCTTCCATGTTAGGAACGGCCTCAAATTACTGGCAAAGTCAGACTTTCACGAAAATGTGCCTGGATCATGGTGCCATGATAAATGAAAGCTGCACCCCTACACCTATTCTATGAGATCACTCGAGGAGGATAAAACATGTAATTTGTGTATTCTTTACACAAGGGTTAAGAAACAACAACAAGAATTAAAATACAAAAATTATTAAATTTTAAAAATTATTTTCATATTCTGAATTAACACAACTTTATAAAAGCTGAGTTGGTTTCATTTACAGAAATTATATATATTTAAATAAATTTGTTGGTATATATGCACTCTATAACAAAAAAAAAATCGATGCACCAAGAAATAGTTGTCAGATTGGGACAAAAATTGGTGTATGTGAATAACATGTATAATGTTAGGAAAGAATTATTTATTTTAGAGTTTGATTGTCACAAATTGAGAAAGTCAATATGAAATTGGATCCCACTGGCCTGGATGCAGTCTACCACCCTGCGTGTCATGGACTGATAAAGATTCTGCATGGTGTGCTGTGGGATTTCTTGTCAAATTGTCTTCAACTGTCAGGCTAAATAGTCAACATTCTAGGATTGTTGCAATCACCTTCCCATCACGTCCCAGATGTGCTCTATGTGTGAGAGATCAGGCGACCTTGTTGACCCAGAGAATTTTGGCAAGATAGAAGACATTCCTTAGTAACACATCATGTGTTGCCAGGCATTATCTGTTGAAAAGTAACCCCAGGTGATGTGAGAGGAAAAGCAACAAAACAGGCTATAGAATGTCATCGAAGTACTGTTGTACTGTCAGGGTACAAAGAATGACTACAAATTAGGTCCTGCTATCAAATGAAATGGCACTTCAGACCATATCACCCTATTGTGGATCTGTGTGGTGTTCAAAAGTAGTCCAAGATCCACACACTGTCCAAGAC